AAGCGAATCGGGGGGGGGGGGGGGGTGCAGCCTCCAGTTTACACACGTTTGTCTCAGCTAAGGAAGGACAGCTCCAGAGTAGACTAATTAATGCAGCAGCCCAATCGCTCGCTCCCAACTTTAACGCCAGTCAGAGAAGTTTTCCTCACAGACCTGCGTGCCTTCCCTCGCCCTCTGCTGTGCACGCAGTCCTCCTCTACCGCCCCGAGTCTCTGAAAGCCCACAAGGAGAGCCAATGGGGGGGGGCTGAAAAAGGCGGTGACAGTGGGGGGGCACCTCAGCTGATCTTTTTCCAGGCCCGACACGGGGCCTGAAAAAGGAGAGGGGTGCCTCGGCAGGTGAGGGGAGGGCTCCACAGGGACCTTACCTCCCTGCTGCTTGCTCCTTGGTCTGACTGATGGCTGTTGGGAGCTGGGGGCGGGGCTTATGTCACCGCAAGATGTTTTTTTCATATCCAAGATTTTAAACGGAAGGTTACCTTAGAACAGCAGATTAGTGTCCAGTAGCTTCTCAGAGGCCAACAAGGAGGGGAGGGTGGGGAGAGAAAATCAAAATAGCAGGAGGGAGGGAAAAGAGCGGAATTTGCATGTGCAGCTGCTAAGCCTGAGGAGCTCCTCCCCTTCCACGAGGCTTCGCTCCTTTCTCCGGAAGGTGAGCCCCCCCCATGCAGCACGCTGGAACCAACACTCGAGTCCCGATGAGAAGCCGCCACCTCCGCCGATCCACTCCCGGAGCAGCTGGACGCCCCAGCAGCCTGTGGCAGCGGTGATAGGCGGGGGAAGGGAGCAGAAGATCGGGAAGGAGGGGGCCCACAAAACAAGCGGGGGGCGGCCCCGAGGGCCCCACGCAGGCTACGGGCCTGCACTGAGTACATTACATGAATTAATCAACCATGATGGTGTCCAATTATAATGCAATTGATGTTGCTGCAATAGTCACCCTGACAAGCAACCCATAAAGCAAAGCTGCCCTCTGAAATACTTTGGAATCCATACCTGGTTGAACCCCTGGTGCCACACAAGTAAATCCTCATGAAGGGTGACTTTCTTCCCCTCAGGAGATTTGGGATCCACCCTTCCAACTTTCAGTCTAATGATGGAGTCGTTTGGAAAGGTGACCATGTTCAGGATGTCGAAGCCTGCTCCCATTTCCCTGTTCTCGTCAAAGGACACTGTTTCTCCAGCGGAGTTGTTAAATGACATTCCTTGAAGATACTGGTGGAGCTAATGAAAAAAGAATGAAATGGGGGCAGGAAGCAGCATCTGTTACTCTTCTAATTTAGAAAAAAAAAACCTGCTTCCTCTCTGCCTGCCTGTCTTGTTGCCTGCCTTTCTCAGGACCCTGGATCAGTAACAACAATATCAAATACAATAGAATTATTTCCAATCACAGCAATAAGCACAGTGAAATACTCAAACAATAAAAATAAAATACACACCCATCTAAAACCGCCTGAATCCCTGCTTGCAAGATATTCACCGTTTGCCCAGACACACCTTCTCTAGACATTACCTGCCAAGGCTGGGGATCACAGAATCCAGTACTTTTGCATCGGAAAATGGATTGGTACTTGGATTGGAATGAATACAAGGCACGCAAAGCATGTGCAACAGCATAGACTGCATTGTAGATTCCATAGCTGTGGCCACTCATGGACATTTCAAAAACGGGTCCAGGGAGAGTTTCCAGCGTCTCCTTTCCTGTACATTTATTTATACCCACTGACAATCTTCCAAACATACAATTAAATGCTTCTTCCCAGAAGGTTTCGACAAATCCATTTCCCAATGTCCTCTCAGGTTTTATGTGAAGAAATTTCTGAAACCCTAAAATCTCCTGTGAGTGAATTGTCAAGGATACAGTGCCATTGAAAATGCTCAGATCTAATCCCCTCTCAAATCTTGTTATAGCAAAATCAATCTGGCTGGTTGTAATCCACACCTTTCCAACAGATGTGAGTTCCTTATGTTCCTCATTTAATGAACACATTACAGTGATCAGGAATGTCATGGTCTGAGTATCTCCATAGACAACATATACCCTGGCTTTGCTCAATTTGAAAGATACATAAACCTTTGAGAGCATGTTAGTTATTTCAGTCCAGTCATTGAGACGCATTTTTTGTGGCATTTGTTGTATGAAGGCCAGACAGATTCCATGCTGGGAAAGAAACAATTTTAGAGTCTTTAAGAAACGTTCTCCACGGTCATCATCCACTGCAAAAAGTCCAACCCATGTCCATCCAAAATGCTGGAGTAACCAGATAATCCCCATGTACTGATGGGTTTCATTAGTGGCCACATGGTAAGAGAAGGGTAAATGTACTGCATTCCTCTGCTCTACATCCAGTGACCCATATGGGAACTGAAAGAAAGGCAGCAAATATTTTACCACTGGAAGACTTTCAAGCTCTGTGTATTGGCTATTTGTCAGTCTCAAATCCAGATTTTAACCTGTAAAACTGGAGAATCCAGTTCAAGCATGGAAATGCCATGAAATTTCTGGGAAATGGTCATAGTGAAATGTCTGACCCTACCTTCCCTTTCTTGTTTCCCCTGCCATTCTGAAGACAATTTGCATTTAGTTTTGATTCTGTAAATACTGCAGAACATGTTATTATACTTCATATTGTTTCTGAAACAGGAATGTGGTACTTGAAAGGGGGTCAAGAGTAAATAATTGATACAACATGTAAAAGTCCAGCCAGTTATGCATGTAGGTCCTACCTGTGGGATCTTGTAGAGACTTAAGATGTCTGAAATACAGATGGAGACATCAGAGCCAAGTCCTCCAATCACATCCATTAGGTTTCTTGAGGCTGAACACTTGTAGTTAGGAACAGATCTGTGAGATTTGAAGAGCAAGTCCAGTGTACTGCGATAGACCATCTTCTCATAATAGTAGCTGTCATAGATGTGGAATCCAAGGGTGATATTAGGCAAGATCTCTGGATTGTCATTAATCTCTTCTATGGCAAACACCATGGCCAGAACATGCTGGTAGAACTTTGTCACCATACTGCAAATAGAATGTCATAGGGTTTCACAAACATATTTGACATGACATCAAGTAATCTTATCACAGTTCAGTTCCTCTTAGGCCCTCGTTATTTCATTTCCAAACAATAAGATTATCCTTTTTTGTGGTTTTGACTCACATTTCTGGTGTAATGTAACACTCATTTTATCCCTGGTAATATTTGTTTATGCACCAATTCACCTAAACTGGGATATTTTTTTATTTATTAAACTTCTATCACGCCCTACCCCAGAAGTGGGCTCAGGGCAGCTCACAACATAAAAATAACAATAAACTGAAAATATTTTAAAAAATTAATTAATTTAAAAAATCAAACCAGAATATTTAAAGAGATATATATATATCTGCAACCTTACATGGGTAGTTCAGGCAAGCTCATTCTTAGAAGCTAAGCAGGGTCGACTCTGGCAAGTACTTGGATGGGACACCTGCTTGGAATACCAGCACTTGGGAGGAAGGTGCAGGCTTTATTCAGCCATCTCTCTGAATATCATCCAGGCCCCCAGTAGGTGTCAGTCTCCAGCGGTCGCTATGACTTCCAGGTGCACACAGACTCACATGCATCCACACACTCACGCTGATATAAAAAAATATATATACAAAAACATCCGCAAAGTGATTTCCTTGAAGCCCTCTTTTTTATCTGCTTTCATCCCCCCCCCCCAGGACTCAACTTTGTAACAGAATGAGCATAGGCCAGTCTATAGACATACTGCTAGATATTTGTCAGGATATGGCAGACACTTCTTGCATTTATCATACCACTCCAGAGGTCATTACTATCTCCTCTGCTTCATAATCTCAATTAATACTTTTTAATCCACTATTGGAAATTAATTGCAGCTGATACAGTAGGTAGGTAGGTAGGTAGGTAGGTAGGTAGGTAGGTAGATAGATAGATAGATAGATAGATAGATAGATGATAGATAGATAGATGATAGATAGATAGATGATAGATAGATAGATGATAGATAGATAGATGATAGATAGATAGATGATAGATAGATAGATGATAGATAGATAGATGATAGATGACAGATAGATAGATGACAGATAGATAGATGACAGATAGATAGATGATAAATATAAACATTGATCACTTCATCTTATTCAACGTTTTTCCACAAAGAGTGACATTTTGAATAGATTTACATTTTAAATAGGCCATGAAAGGTGGTAGTTATTTTCTCTAACCATTCTTTCTTTTCTTGGAGAGTAACTTTTCTTCAATGTCTGACATAAACACTGTGAGCAGTTGGATCTGCCCAGAAAACCTTTTTCTCTGAGATGGAACAGAATACCAGCTGCACAATTTAACAGTAACAATGTGGCTCTACATGCTATTTTTCAAGCTATATGAGCTGAAATGGTTTGCACAATTGTTTTCCAATGGTTTATAGCATGTGAGTATTCACTAAGGTTGTCAGGTCTTCCTTGATGTCGGCAGGGGTGGTGGTCCCAGTCCCTCTCTGGGAACTCTTTGGCACCTGCACCATGATGACATTACCAGGAAATGATGTCATCACACATGGCACGTTTCAGGGGATGCTCTACCATTTAAGGAAAAACTCTATAGTTCTTCCTTAAAGACTTGACTGTCTCTCCCCCCCCCCACCCGCCCGCATAACATGCCCTGCACAATCACATCACCTCCAGGTGATGTCATTGCACCGGGCACATTGCTGTGAACCGGGAACTTTGGGGGCTGTGTTCCCTTCACTGGCCAAGTCTGGGATGATAGATCTTGGTGGTCCAAAAGCAGGCAAACCCCGGCCCCCGTTGGGGGAACTGCAGCATTTTCTAAAGACACTTCAGTGGCAGATATAAGTGATTTGCTATTTTTTAAAAAAACTTCTCAAAGAGAAGTTCACTAAGAGAATTCCTCCTTTTTAAAATAAATAGGACCGGATTTACTTCTCAGCCTAGGTCTGTTTGCCACTTCTTTGGATACCCTTTTTTTCATGCTTCCATATCAGCAAGAAATCTAAGACAGAAACAAATTCTTTATTGTTTTTCCAGGCTAGTCCTTCAAAGTCTGTCAGCCCTCATTAGAATGTCCTAATTGTGGCACTATACATACTTCAATCTGCAATGGCTGAAATAGGGAAACATGTCCTGACCCTCTTTTCAACACACTTCCAAAATGTATCAGTTTATGATTTCTAATTAGATCTACGTAGAATGTTTCCAATATTTAAAAATATTAGGATTGTAGCCAGGTTTGTTTGTGTATAAAGTGCCAGAAGTTACAGCCAATTTATGTTGACTTTTCAAGGCAAGTGAGAAGCAGAGGTCCTCTTCCTGGAGGTTCTTCCTGGAAGTTGCTCATTCGAGTAATAACCAAGGCTGACCCTGCTTACCTTCTGAGTCAATCTGACTAGATCTGGGTATACAATGTCACTTGCCTTCCTCATAGCCAGGTACACCATTTTAATTCCAGTATCTGGAAAGGCTGCTAGATATTTATGGTGAGATCACACACACATAATTAATTATCAAAGCTGTAATGAGGGCGAGAGAAGTGGGGTAGATGCCTCAGATATATAAAGCTATATATATATAATCATAGAGTTGGAAGGGACCTGGAATCATAGAGTTGGAAGGGAAGGGTCATCTAGTCCAACCCCCTGCACAATGCAGAAAATTCACAAATACTTTCCCCCCTGCACACCCTGTGACCACTGTTCCATGCACAGAAGATGACATAAAAACCTCTAGGATCCCCAGCCAAACTGGCCTGGAGAAAAATTGCTTCCTAACCCCATGAGCCATGAGAACTATGAGCTGATGCACCCCCTCCTGCCCTCCCTCTCAAGATCTGTTATATCTAGTATTTCAAGCTGCCATGCTCTTAGGAAAGGACACATTTTTTATTAATTCAAATTGAACCAACCAAGTTGGGACAGCTGATCTATACAGCCAAAAAAGACAGTACACTGTGAAGCTCTGTTCCTTGCTGCTGTCTTCCTTTACAATAAAAGTAAAGTAAAACAAGATGGTTACGGGACTTAGGTGAGGAAAAAGAAACAAGTTTGCCATAAAGTCCCCCTTCCCAGTTTCTTTCCCAGTTCACCTCTTTCTAGTTCCTCCCTCCTGGCCTCACAGACTACCGGACAGAAAGCTACAACCCACATTTGAGACTATGTCGTCATATTTTGGAGGGGGAAAATTGGCAAGGATGTCTGTGCCATGAGATCTGCAACTCCAATTCTTCTTCACTTTTTGAATATTTAGAGGCTGAAAGTATCAGAGTGAGGGTTAAGTAGGATGAGAAACGAGCTGCATTTTCCAGTTCTTGTAAATACAACAGATACATACACACAAACCCTGGAAGGATTTTATTTCTATTTGCTACTGTTGTGCAGAGAAACCATAATTCAAGTTGTTAGCTGGCTTGTCAAAATCTGAGGGACCGCAGGTTCCCCTCATAACCCTGTGTTGTCTTTTTAATACATTCCTTCACAGACTTCTTTCTTTTATGAGTTGCAGTAGTCCATTCCTTGTAGGGCAATGAGAAGTCCCTCAAGGGCACAGATCAAAAGTTGTGATTTGTTATAACAACATTGATGAATGATTTGCCGAGGCTCCCTCAGTGGGCACTAATTGTTCAGAGATAGCCCCCTAAGTGGTTTATTCATTCTCCATCAATTAGAACGAAGCATTGATGAGAGATTTCTACTGACTGTCACTGGAGTTTCCTTACCGTGTGATAGTTGTGGAGAACTCATTGGATGGATTTATCTTGAAAGAAGACTTGGAAGGAATATAAAACAGTTGAGACATAATCCCACCAATCAGGAGATCTCCTGACTGATACCACTCGTGTAGGACAAGGAGAGCATCACTCTCAGAGCAGTGCATGAAATCCTTGCACACTAGTGGAGTGAAGAGAAGCTGCAGTGCCAGCAGCACCAACAACATCCTGGCTGCAAAGGTTCTGTCTAGATGCACACTCTCTTGAGCCCTTCGAAAACCTGAAATGTTTGGCTGCTGGTTGCCAATACTCCTGCAGAAGGGGAAATGATCAGAGCTATCTTTAGAATCAGGCAAACTGGAAACGCTGGTCTCCCATAGCCATCCAATGCACTGGCTTGATGTTTGCCTTCTCAAATGGGATGGAAACTGTGACAGAGACAACTTGACACACAGCCTTCCCTGCTTTGGGGGACAGAAGGGATTTTCTTTATATAACCACCTGGAGACGTGTGTGCTGTTTTTCTTCTCGCTCATCCTAAGAGTCACTGTAGCTTGGCCATGGAAATAAATTTCAGTAATTACATAGGTGAGTGAAATTGGCTGGCGTAATTAAATGGCACCGTTGTGAGATTACTCCCCCCCCCCCCGGAACTTGCACCAAGTCGAATCTGCTCACTGCTTGGTGGTAAACAAAAGGGAAGTAAGCTCCTGATTTCCTTCTGAGCAAGTACCTGTTGGAAAATTCAGCCCTAAATATGAAGCTTGAATGGGAACACAACACAGGGTTCAATGCAGAAAGGAAGGCCACTGCCAAGCTCCAGTGGTCCTCTCTGGTGTAGACCAAACCATGCTAGATACGCGAGTAAGCAACTTCAGTAACACTCAGATTCACAGTTTCATACATTCACATCTACCTGCCACCACAATTTCTCTCCTGGTTTAGCATGGCCATGTTAGCAGATGAGCTGAATATTTGCTTTTATGTATTTGTAATTGCTGACACACACACACACACACACTTTTATGGACTGTGCCTATAAATCCCTATGGGCAAAGGAAAAACTGTTTGGAAGCACCTACTATGTGACAGAGATTTCACATAGGAAGAGACTTGCCTGCTTTCTATGTTAATGAGGCATGCACACAGATACAGCTAGCAAAGCATTGTGAGGACAAGACGAACATGGTGGGCCTTTGTTAGCAGAGAAACAACAACTCTGAGTTGAATATTCTCCTTTGCTGAGAGACTGGGTGTCATGTTCTACAGAGACCTGATCTGCATTTGTATAAGCCGTTTCCCGTTTACAATGCCTTGGCAGGCTGGTAAAGCCAAGGGTCATCAACAGAACAAAGAAATGTCCTCCAGCTGAGATTCAACACATGGCCAAATGGAATTCCATGAGATAGAGTATAGAATTACAAATATTGTCACCACCCATCATAAGAACATAAGAACATAAGAGACGCCAATGTTGGATCAAGCCAAAGGCCCATCCAGTCCAACACTCTGTGTCACACAGTGGCCAGAAATACCAGTGCCATCAGGAGGTCCAGCAGTGGGGCCAGGACATTAGAAGCCCTCCCACTGTTGACCCCCCCCCAAGCACCAAGAAGACAGAGCATCACTTGCCCCAGAGCCCCTAGCTATACCTTGTGGCTAATAGCCACTGATGGACCTCTGCTCCATATGCTTATCTAATTCCCTTTTGAAGCCATCCATGCTTGTAGCACCCACCACTTCCTGTGGCAGTGAATTCCATGTGTTAATCACTCTTTGGGTGAAGAAGTACTTCCTTTTATCCGTTCTAACCCGACCGCTCTGCAGTTTCATGGAGTGCCCACGAGTTCTTGTATTGTGAGAAAGGGAGAAAAGTACCTCTTTCTTTACCTGCTCTTTCCCATGCATAATCTTATAAACCTCGATCATGTCACCCCTCAGTCGTCTTTTCTCCAAGCTAAAGAGCCCTAAGCGCTTTAACCTTTCCTCATAGGGAAAGTGTTCCAACCCTTTTATCATTCGAGTTGCCCTTTTCTGCACTTTTTCCAAAGCTATAATATCCTTTTTAAGGTGTGGTGCCCAGAACTGCACACAGTATTCCAAATGAGGTCTCACCATTGATTTATATAGGGGCATTATTATATTGGCTGATCTGTTTTCAATACCCTTCCTAATAATCCCCAGCATAGCATTGGCCTTCTTTATTGCAGTCACACACTGTCTCGACATTTTCAGTGAGTTATCCACTACAACTCCAAGATCTCTCTCTTGCTCAGTCTCTGCCAGTTCAGACCCCATCAATGTGTATTTATATTTAGGATTTTTGGCTCCAATGTGCATCACCTTGCACTTGGCCACATTGAACCCCATTTGCCATGTTGACGCCCACTCGCCCATCCTTGACAGATCCCCTTGGAGTGCCTCACAATCCTCACTGGTTTTCACCACCCTGAACAACTTTGTATCATCCGCAAATTTAGCCACTTCACTGCTTACTCCCATCTCCAAATCATTAATGAACAAGTTAAAAAGCAGTGGACCAAGTACTGATCCCTGCGGTACCCCACTGCTTACCACCCTCCACTGAGAAAATTGCCCACCTACACTCACTCTCTGTTTTCTATGAACTAGCCAGTTTTTGATCCATAAAAGGACTTGTCCTTCTATCCCATGATTTTTGAGCTTACTTAGGAGCCTTTGATGAGGAACTTTATCAAAAGCTTTCTGGAAGTCAAGGTAAATAATATCTATTGGATCCCCCTTGTCCACATGTTTGTTCACCCCCTCAAAGAACACTAACAGGTTAGTGAGACAAGATCTTCCCTTACAGAAACCGTGCTGAGTCTGCCTCAATAGGTTTTGTTCATCTATGTGCCTACTAATTCTTTCCTTAATAATGGTTTCCACCAATTTACCCGGTATCGACGTCAGACTGACTGGCCTGTAATTTCCCGGATCTCCTCTGGAACCCTTTTTAAAGATGGGAGTGACATTAGCTACCTTCCAATCCTCAGGAATGGAGGCAGATTTTAAGGAAAGATTACATATCTTTGTCAGGAGATCTACAAGTTCACATTTGAGTTCTTTCAGAACTCTCGGATGTATGCCATCTGGGCCTGGTGATTTTTCAGTTTTTAAGTTGTCTATCAGTTTTAGGACCTCCTCTCTCGTCACCTCAATCTGACTCAGGTCTTTCAACACCCCTCCTGAAATCAGTGGTTCTGGAGTGGGCAAGCACTTCTCATCTTCCACAGTGAAGACGGAGGCAAAAAATGCATTTAGCTTCTCAGCCATTTCCCTATCATCCTTCAATACTCCTTTTACCCCTTGGTCGTCCAAGGGCCCCACTGCCTCCCTGGCTGGTTTCCTGTTTCTAATGTATTTGAAGAAAGTTTTATTGTTGGTTTTTACGTTTTTTGCTATATGCTCCTCATATTCCCTTTTTGCCTGCCTGACCTCAGACTTGCATTTTATTTGCCATAGCCTGTGTTCCGTTTTATCAGCCTCACTGTGACTAGCTTTCCACTGCTTAAAGGAATTCTTTTTACTTTTTACAGCCTCCATTACTCTGTTTGTTAACCATGCAGGCTTTTTCCTATACCTTTTTGTGCCTTTCCTAACCTGCGGAATATATATTTTTTGAGCTTCTAGGATCGTAGTTTTAAATAGATCCCAAGCTTCCCCAATTGTTTTGACCCTTTCTACTTTTCCTTTCAGTTTCCTCCCCACGTGTCCCCTCATATCAGAGAAATTACCCCTTTTAAAGTTAAAAATGGTTGTGTGAGTCTTTTTGGCCAATTCTCTATTTGTACAAATGATGAACTCAACAACATTATGATCACTGTTTCCAAGCGGTGCAATCACTTTTACATCTCTCACCAGGTCTTGAGTGTTACTTAGGACCAAATCAAGGATCGCCTCTCCCCTGGTAGGTTCCGTGACCATCTGCTCCATAGCACAGTCATTTAGAGTGTCTAGAAACCCCTTGCCCCTTGCTACATGCAGCCAATAAGGAGATTTCATGGGATGGATCAGTATGTCAGGTGAGATCACGAGCAGGCAGGATGCCCCCGCCTGGAAATTTCACTATATAACCATGCTTTGAGAGAGAGAGAGAGACAGCTGCTCTTGCAGCTGCTGCTACTGCTGGCCGGTTGGCCGTGCATCCTATCCCCCCCCCCCCTCTTTCCTTGAGGAAAAGCTCTTGTCTGAATTTCTCTAAGGTGTGCAGTTAGAGAAATTCAGCCATATTAGCTAACATTGTTTTGGCAATGTGGAAGAGCAACAGACCCCAGGGATCCCCCCCCCTTTCCCTCCAATCATCACTGCAACAGACTGGACTTCTATAGCAGGTGAGCATAAATCGTTTCAGCCACCTCCCTACTTCCAAGTAACTAAAGTAAATATTTTGTATTCATTTCTGTAATTCTAAAGGATCTTGTATGCTTGTTATATGTGAGACTGATGCTGTTGTATGACTGATTTTAAATACCTTCAGTAAAAAGAATCTTTGTTTTGGAAGAACACTCATGTGATCTCCATTACTGGAACTCTGAGTTCAGGCAAAACTCTAGTATAGCTGGCCCACACTCACGTTAAACATTTAGCCATCTGTCGTAGATTTTGGCTAACAGCCATCTATATTCTCAGATAAGTTCATTCCCTAACTCAGTGCCTCCACAGGTGACCATTATCCAAGTTTCAGCCAGGAGGTCATGAACCACTCTTCAAAGGGCAATACAGAGAAAGGATTCCCCCCCCCCTTTCCTTTGTCAAACTAAAGGTTTCTGTTCAAGAATTATCTTTGTCAAACTCAGGCCTCATTTGCCATGTATTTTTCCACTCTATGTGTTCAGTTTTTTTGTCTTGTTTCATTCAGCTGGGAATTGGGGGGGGGTAGTATGTGAGCATGCTTGTGTGTTACTGCTTTGCTCAGAGGTGTGCTGGCTTTTAATTGCATGTAAGTGGGGCCACCCTACATGGGAAGAATGCATGCTTGACCTTGAAGTTATGGACACTGCTTGATAATGTAACTGAATGTCTGCAGGTGCTGGAGGAGGGCTAACAGTGCATTGTAGTTTTGGTGGGCTAGATGTAAAAGTGTGATCGGACTGTTCACTGGGGGAGGTAATTTGATTTATGTATAAAAAGGGAACTGGCACCCAAGGTAGCAGTTCTGACACAGATTTGTCTATGCTTGAAACCTCTTCACCTCTCAATAAACAAATCACTGCCAAGAGAGTGTTGTTGGGAGTGAGTTCTCTTTCAAGACCTGACAGTCTTAACAATTCAGACTTTTGCAAATTTCTTGCAGGAATTTTATAGATTTTTAAAAATTATTAAAATCCCCCCCTTCCACTTGGTTCAAGACAGCTTTAGATACACAATGACAAAAAACCCTTTCCCTTCCTTTCCATATAGCATGGTTGGAATTATCTTACTCCGATACAGTTTAAGAACTGGGTCTACCATGCCTCCTGCCTTAGAAAAGTAGAACTTCAGTAGAGCCCCCAAATTCTTCATAGTAGCAGCTTTTAATGATGTAAGGTGGGGGTGCCAGGAGAGAGTTTCAGAGAAGGTTAAACCCAGATATTTATATGTGTTGCATTGCTCCATCTGGGTGCCAAGAATGCTCCAGGTAGATTTCTTTGGACGTTTCCTAAAAACCAGGACTTTTGACTTGGCATAATTTATTTGCAAGCCTTCTGCATTGCAGTACTCACCCAATTTATTCAGCAGTCTCCTCAAACTGATCTTGGTTAAGGACAGAAGGACCATATCATCTGCATACAGAAGGACTGGAACCTTATGTTGTCCAATGGCCGGGGCCATATATTCACTACCTTCTAAACTAGCTATTATGTAATTAAAATACAAGTTGAACAAAGTGGGACCTAACGCGCAACCCTTTCAGCACTTGGATGTCCTCGGTGAGTAAGCCTTCTCTCCCAACCTTAACTTTTACATTGGTATCACAATGTAGCTGGCTAATCAGATATACTAGCCACGGGTCAGTGTTGATGTTCAGACGCTTCTGCCATAACCTACCTCTATCTAAAGAATCAAATGCTGATGCCAGGTCGATAAAGCCTGCATATAGGGCTTTTGTAGGGCCTCTAATGGCCTCTGAAGCCAAGGTAAATAGGGTTTGACAGTGCTTGATGGTAGAATGACTTTTTTTGAACTCTATTTAGAGGGGATGGATTACGTTATTATCAATAACATAATCCTCGAATTTATTTTTTAATTGCTTACTATATACTTTAGAGGCAATTGGCAACAAACTAATTGTCCTATAGTTGCCCGGCTCGTTCTGATCCCCCTTCTTGTAAATTGAGATGGTGATACTCGTGGTCCATCCCTTTGGAAGTCTACTTGTTCTGTCAATTAGGGTGAAAACTTTCACTAACATTGGTAGCCACCAGTAAATATTTGTTTTAAAACACTCTGCCGGGATCAGATCTTCACCTGGAGATTTTCCACTGGGCAAAGATCCAATTAACGACCTCACTTCTGACATTGTGACTGCAGGCCAAGAAACTGTGAAGGGTGGAGGGAGGTTAACCTGACTATTCCTACCCTCACCACCAAAGACCTTTGAAAAATGGTCAAACCATATCTCAGCCTGGATACCAGGATCCTTCCCCAAGTTTTGACAATGAAGACCAATAGAAATCAGGTGCCAAAATCTACCCTTATTCCTGCTATTCGCCGCCTCTTGGAGTTCCACCCATAAACGAGCAACAGATGCCTGTTTCTTCTTCTTTAGAAGATCTTTATATTGACTACTTGCTCTACCTAGGATCCTAAATGATTCTGGACCCTTCTAGCTATTCTATTACATTTCATCAGGTATCTTTTAGATTGTACACATTCTCTATCAAACCACTAGTTTCAGGGGGTAGAAGTTGACTTAACAGAACTCCCCTTGAAAAGTGCAGATTTTAAACATTTCACAATTTCATCATAAATGGGGATCACGTTGGAATCCTTGATTTTTAAGTCCAAAAGTTCCTGAGTAATTCCCTCATTAGAAAGAACTTCATGAACTAATTTCTGAATATTTGTCGACCATTTAGGCCTCCTATGTACTAAGTCATCTCCTTTGGGCTTATCAAGTGCCCTAATTGTTTCTTCCGAGCAACCTAATACTACATGCAGTGGATTATGGTCACTATGTAGTGCATTTGTCACCTAAAAAGAGTGGATTTGTTCTGAAAGATCCCATGAAACTGCTACAAAGTCTATCGTACTTGCACCTCGCGTAGAAATATACGTATAAGTCCCCTTTGAAATATCCCATCCAGTACCATTCAATACACACAGATTTAGCTTTGAGAGAAGCTCCAGGAATCTTCTGCCAGCTCTGTTAATGAACGGATCCTGGAGGATACGTCCACCACCGAGGAGATTCTTATTAGGCCCCCCCTTATCCTCAAATTCACTGGCATTAAAATCACCTCCTAAAAATAGATGTTGGATGTTGGGTTTCTAATCTTTCTAATAATTCAAGTAGTTTTCCCCAACACATCTCATTACTAATCCCTCTTAAACCATTAGGGGGCAGGTAGACATTTAGACATAAAAGGCTTCCACGTGGAGGAACTCTGACCAAAAGAGCCAGCACAAAATTCTCACAATCATGAGGAATAAGCTCCACCTCCATCAGTAGCGTTCTCTTAATAGCTGTTACAAGCCCCCCACAGCCCCTCCCTTTATTATGGAACTTGGTGGCAAAGGCATTATAACCTCTATAGCCTTCCAGGCTAGGGGTGGTTGGGGCCTGGGCCCAGGTCTCCTGAAGCAGTATAATCTCAGAGTGGCCCAAAAATTTTTTAAAGTCTGGATCCCATTGTTTATTCCACCACCACCCTATCTTCCATGAAAGGAGCCTTAAACGTCATGGATCAGTACTAATCCAATCCAGTTCCCCTACCAAGTCTACAAATACACATCCATTACCAAAAGATGGGTTAGACTGACTCTGCAACCCTCCTAATGACTCTTTCAAATTACAGGAGGCTGACAACTGTGTACATACATTAGCTGACCTAGATGTGGTGGCGTTAGGTCCCTGTTGTACTTCAGCTCCTTCATGGCCCACAAACTCAGCCTTCTTAGTTGTTCCCGCCCCAAATTCTTCTTCCCCTATTGTTGTAGTCAATCTATCATACACTTTCAGTTCTTGACTTAGTGACAGGTCCCCGATTCAGTCCAAAAATTTGACTTCAGCAAAATTTGGTAGGTGACATTCAATTGGCTGTTCTTCCATTTGTTCTGAGTTGCAGTCACTCCCCTTTATCTCTTGTTGCGAGGACAAGCATTCCATAGGGGATTGAGGTGCCTCTTGAGTTACAGAGTCTCTTTGAGGAATTGTTGTCTCCATCAACCCCTTCACCATGGGACCCTGGCGTGGCATTTTCAGGCTCTCACATTTTGTCACCAAGGGCCTTACCACCAAGTTCTCAAAAACTCTCACAGGGTATATTCCCCAGGTATTGAATGTTTTTCTTCCCTTGTCTTAGGGCAGGGATTCTTGGGGAATCAAAAGTGAGTAGAAACTTTTGCATCTGATCGGATGAATTAAGTTGAGAAACCTGAGCAAGGTCAATTGCAGACTTGTCCTTCCCCAGTAGCCTTGACAGATGCACCATAATACCAGTCCAACCAGCCCATCTTGGGGCTCTGCCCCATTGTGCTAGGCGACTGCAGATTGTCAGGGTGATGCAATTAGATTTGAAGACCAGCTTGTCTTGTGTATCTTCCTTTACTTTCCTGGGAGAGTAACCAGACACTGGGGAATTGTTTACTAATTCAAGTTGGGTTATAAATACCAGAGAACTGGGTCCCAACATCACAACTGAATTTTTTATATGGTTTAAACCACTCCATCAATTCAAGCTTTATTTGCTCAACTTGATTGACAACTTCTTTAACTCGGGCATACAGTGAGCTGGATTCATCAGCCCCCAGAGAAAGGCCTAGAGTGGCTTTGTCTTGTCTATTGGGATGACAACAAGTGCTACCTGAACTCCCTGAGAAGCCGCCTCACTATCTCCAGAGACACATCAAAGAACGAGGTTTATTTGGAGATGAGAGGCATGCAGGCAGGAGACACTGGGACGTATTACTGTGCCGGAGGAGCACAGCAGATCACAGCTCTACTCAATTAAACAATTTCAAACATTCTAAGGCATCTGGAGAGGCAGAATTCTCCAACCTTGGAAACACCAATAGAAGTCCTTCAAAGTTTGATAGGCACTGCTGACTGTCAATAACAGAGTTCCCATTCTGCTCTATGGAATCAGAATGCTATACATACCCTCAGCGCAGCCCTTCAGCCTCATTTCTCTCAGCTGTTCACAGTTACAAAGAAAGGAAAGGAACTTGTTTAAAGCACAGTAGCGGAGCACATTCCCTCATGATTGGGAACAGGGATGGGCACAAACCGGCTCAGAGACTAAACTTTGTCATGAATCTTGGCCAGTTCATGGTTTGCAAAGTGATGTTCATGGAAGGGTACCTGTTATGAACATTTCATGAACTTTGGCACTGTTCGTAGTGGTCCGTGGCAGTTTGTGAACGGACACATTTTCCTGACAATCTCTGCTCAATTAAATTGTTTATGAAACTTCAAGGCAATGGGGGGGGGACTCTCCAGCTTGGAAACACCAATAGGAGCCACCCAAAGCTTAACAAGCACTGATGGCTGCCTAACAGAGTTACTATTCTGCTCTATGGGATCAGAAATCTATATAAATGCTCTCAGTTCTGCATCCTCTTTTCTCTTTGCTGGCTGCTTGCAGTTAGAGAGAGGGAGGGGACTTGTTTAGGGCAAACTAGAAAAGCACAACTCCAGTATCACCTTAAAGATCAACAACATTTGTGGCAGAGTATGAGTCACTGCTCACTTCCTCAGAGACAGCTAGAATGTGAGTACATCTGTCCTATATACTGGAAAGTGGAATAATTTCAAATGCGAAGACATAAGCAGGCAAATGAAAAAAGCATGTGTGATTGGATTAGGCACGATACACAGAGAGATAGTAGGCATGGACAAATCAGCATTGGTAATGAATGAGACAGGAAACCTGGGTCTTGATTCAGTCCAGGAGGATGCATTGTCTTCATTTTCATTATCACTTGCAATATAACAGTCTCTCTTTCTAATCTCCCTTTGAAATTCCTTTGTAAGAGAACTGCTACTCTTAGGTCAGCAACTGAATGTCCTGGAAGGTTAAAATGTTCCCCCAATGGTTTTTGAAAGTCATGGTTTCTAATGTCCAGCATTCCTAGCACCCACACCATCACATTCAGAGGGTGTCATGGGGCTGTGAAGGCTTAGCCAAGAAGGACAAGAAAGAAATGACCAATCATAGAGTGGAATCAACAGAGACCGGGACCCATGCACATTCCAGCTGAGGACCAAGGCAGGGCAGGGCTATATTTCATGAGGCTATAGTGACAGTACACACTCCTGCTTAAAGGCACAGGCAACTGTCAAAAGTAAATGGGGGTTACCATGAATTGGTGCACTGAGTTTTACCTCAAACAGGGCTATCCCACGTGAGATGAAGGGCATGACGTCCAGGGAAAAACTAAGGGACACAGACAGAGCTTCTACCCAGGTGTGGGCAGTGCTCAAAGGCAGAGGCATAGTGAGAGCAACCAGACTGCCCCCGGCCATTTGCATGCTCCACTCCCTCGGCTCCACCCCACCCACTCTGCAGACTTTGAGTCACATGCTGCTTTAGTTGTCCCACAGCCCAGTGTCTGAAGGATGGTGGTCCTAGCTTTCTCTCTCCTCCCAAAATTGGTGCTCCAGTCTCCAAAGAAAGGGAACTTGTTATAGTTGTGTGTTTTTTTCCCAATTAGACATATTACCTCTCCCTCTTGAGTGTTCCTGCTAGGTGCTCTCCCAGTGGTGCTAAGTGCCCATTCTTTACTTTGCAGCTACAAACATTAAACACTACACTCTCTAAGTCTGCCTGGCAGGGAGTTCTGAGAAAGTTTCATGGTGGGCAACTAACCTAATGACTTATGGCTATCTTGGTAGAGGTTTATGTAAGGCGGGTGTGTATCTCATACCATGCCCTGGTCCCAAGCTGGCTGTTTGCCACATCACATTGCTTACTTTAGGATTTCAAATGGAGAAGGGGTGTGCTACCTCTTCATAGTCTCCAATATTTTTTGAGAGTTGCCTTGCCTAAATCAGAGCTCCCACCCCCAAAGGTAATCAGGACACAAGTGTCAGACAAGGGATAACATTATTTTTAATGCTTTCTTGTTATTACTTGTTCTCTTCTGTTCAAATCAGGCCTCAGAACTATAATATAGCATTTTGGGAAAAATATACAGCACAGCAACCCAGCACCAGAGGCTAAAATAGAGAAAATCTCCACGGCTACCATATATTTCCCTTTGGTGCTCAGGTAGGTTGGAACAAAACACAGCCAAACGCTGCAAAATATCATCATGGTGAAGGTGATGAACTTGGCTTCATTAAAACTGTCTGGCAATTTCCGGGCAAGGAAAGCCACGGTGAAGCTTGTGAAGGATAGAAGTCCCATGAAGCCCAGAACAATATAAAACATGGCCACAGACCCTTCATTGCATTCTGCTATGATTTCTGTGGTCATGGACTTTGTGTCCAAATCTGGGAATGGGGGAGTGGTTCCTAGCCACACTGTACAGATACACATTTGGACAATGGAGCAGGAAAGGATAATGGAGATGGTCAGTCTTTTCCCCACCCACTTCCTCATGCTGGACCCTGGTTTGATAGCCATGAAAGCTATAAACACATTGATGGTTTTGGCCAAGACACAAGAAACTGCCAAGGTGAAGATGATGCCAAAAGCAGACTGTCGGAGAAAGCAGGTCAACTTGCTTGGTCGTCCAAGGAAGAGGAAAGAAGAGAGGAAGCAAAGCAGGAGAGAGATGAGGAGAGCATAGGTGAGATCCTGGTTGTTGGCTTTGACAATGGGAGTGTCTTTGTGCTTAATGAAAGTTCTTAATATCAAAACTGTGATTAAGGACAGGGAAACAGCACCTGAAGCCAAAGAGGTCCCCACTGGTTCTTCATAGGAGAGAAAGCTTATCATCTTGGGAATACATCGGTCTCGGTCTTTGCTCGGATATTTATCTTCTGAACAACTAGTGCAGTCATCCATATCTGAAAAAAGGAAGCCTGACCATCTCAAAAGAGCAAGAGTCCAGTAGCACCTTAAAGACTAACAAAATATGTGGCACAGTATGAGGTTTTGTGAATCACTTCTCACTTAAGAAGTGAGCAGAGACTCACAAAAGCTCATATCCTGCCATATAATTTGTTAGTCTTAAAGGTGCTACTGGACTCTTTCTCTTTTCTACTGCTACTGTCAGATGAAAATGGCTACCCATCTTGATTCATCTCAGTTCATATGAAACTAAGAGTTCATTCTGCTGGCTCCCTTCAATATTTGAGATATTATCCATAGTGAATTCCAGCAACTGGTTATGCACTAGGGCCGATCCCCAATATGGTGGCCATAGATGCCATGGCACCCAATATCTTTTCTGGCACCTGCAGGTCCAGATAGAACTGATGGTTCCCACTGCCCTATATCAGAATTCCAATGGTACCTGCAGGATCAAAAAAAACTGGGGGTCCTTGTGCTAGGGAGTGTCATCTAGAAGACATTTTACTATTATCCAATCATTATGCAAGCCAAGGGATTTTCCCCCCAGCCATGTTGCTTGGGATCATTTTAACTGGAGATGTCAATGACTTAACTGGACGTGTTCATGCAAAACAAGTGCACATGTTCTACCAACCTCCCCCCGACTGTGACCTCTGCCTCTCTACCACCTATTATATCTCAGTGTGTGGAGACATCTGTGTGCTTGCAGAGCTCTTGGGGAAGTCAGAATCACTTACCCTTTTGGATAGAAACCTTCCCTTCTGGGCAAGGAGCACAGTCATAGCAGCAAAATGGCTCTCCTTCTTTCTTTCTTTTCTGATCACCAGGCTGACAGGCATCACTACATCTCGAAACAGGCAGTGTCTGTCCAAGAAGAAGACAGGATCTAATGGCACTTTAAAGTCCAACAAATGTTAATAGCAACTAACAAACATTAAAGACAAAAGCAATTTTGAGAGGGGGGAGCAAATTATCGATGAGACAAAAGAACTTCATCTAATATCCATGTGCTCCGAATTCCAATAATCATTACAATAACTTTTTTTGTTGTTGTCAAGTCAAATGCAACTTATGGTGACCCTGTAGGATTTTCAAGACTAGACATGTTTGTAGGTGGTGAGCCAAATGCCTTCCTCTCTGTAGAGACCCTGCTATTTTGTGGTGGTCTCCCCTTCTAATACCAACCAGGGCCAACACTGTTTAAATTCCTAGGTCTAATAAGATCGGGCTAGGGTGAGGAACCCATGCAAGGGCTAAAATGGTGTGCTCTTTTAAAATTGCTTAGGGCTTTTCTTTGTTTGTTTATTTGTCTCTTTGTCTTCTCTTCCCCAGGTATAGTAGGAAGTTGTATTGAACTTGGCAAAGTTTCAGTGTAACCCTAAACAGGGTCAAAACTTCTAGATCAATTTAAGTCAATGGACTTAGAAAGCAGTAGTTTTGCTTAGGTCACGCTACTAGAATCCAGCCCTGAAATTTTGATCTTTGCCCTGGCACCCGATCATGAGTTCAAATAGTTTATTGAACAGTACTCAACTTATGTAAATGGCTGAGCTAAATCACAGTTTATTTCAAGAAGCTGGTGGTTTGGACTGTACTAGGCAGTTATTATTTATTTATTTATTTTATTCAATTTATACCCCGCCCTCCCCGCAATGCAGGCTCAGGGCGGCTTACATAAGGGCATACACCAATATAAAAACATATTTAAAACCATTTAAAATCCATATAATACAAAACATTCATAATAAGTTATTAACTAACTAACTAAAGTGCTCTCGATGTTCACAGATGGCATACTTCACACTGTTCAGCAGTTCTGCTCCGGGGGCGCTGACATTCCCTCATCCAGGGCCAGGGTAAGATGGAACAAGATGGTAATGATGGTAGTGATGGCAGTGACATTGATACTCTTAGGGACGGATGCACCCAGACTCAAATTTGGCTGACATTTCTGCTGGGCTTGCTTATCACCAGCTGCACTTCCCTTTGTACTGATTGGCACCCCGCTTCATCACTCTCTCTAGATGTGCTGCAAGGCTACTACTGGGTTTTAAACATTCTAATAAGCACCAAGGACCCTCCTTCACAGTGCACCCAGCAGCCAGGCACGTAACAGACTTTTCCAGACATGTCCTCCAATCATGAAGGTGTCTCGGGGTGCAACCTGCCCTGTTCCTACCAAACTAGTTGTGGCCTAACCAGTTTTTATAACCAAGCCTATTTCATCAGTGGGTGGAACATCTCACAGAAAGATTACAGAACAGGTGGAAAAGAGGCTCCCGGGACATCCAATATACAGGGCCACCCAATTCATGCTCAGCCTTGTATAGCAACCAGCTAATCCCATGCTGTCTCCAGAGAAGGTGGGCGGGTCAGCGGCAGGGTGAAAGGGCCAGCTGCCCAGTCCAATTGGCTGATCTGTCTTCTTGGCAGCCAATGGAGTCGCATGGTTGATTTGAATTAAACCCTGGCCAGGGCAAATCAATCCATGCCGTAATTTGTTGTGAATCTCAGTTCTTTACATTTCAGGAATTTGACCATCAACACGATAGCGGCTGCTATCACGCGGAACAAAAATGTTTCCCCCCCCTTGACTATGAATCCAGAATGATCAGTAAGTGGGTTTTAAGATCTAGAATTAAAACCAGTCCTGATGTCTCATGAATCAGTGTGATAACAGGAATGGAGACAATTGACACTTTAGCTTTACACCTCTGTTTAGTATTTAATGGATTACATGGATTAATCAATGATGATGTTGACCAGGTATAAGCAAATGATGTTGCTGCCATCGCTACCCTGATAAACAACCCATAAAACAAAGGTGCCCTCTGAAATGCTTTGGAATCCATACCTGGTTGAACCCCTGGTGCCACACAAGTAAATCCTCATGTAGGGTGACTTCCTTCCCTTCAGGAGATTTGGGATCCACCCTTCCAACTTTCATTCTAATGATGGAGTTGTTTGGAAAGGTGACCATGTTCAGGATGTCGAAGCCTGCTCCCATTTCCCTGTTCTCGTCAAAGGACACTGTTTCTCCAGCGGAGTTGTTGAATGACATTCCTTGAAGAAACTGGTGGAGCTAATTAAAAAAGAATAAGAAATGGGGGCAAAGCAGCATCTATTACTCTTTATTTTAAAAATAACAAACTGCCTCCTATCTGTCTGCCTGCCTTACTGCCTGCCTGCCTGCCTGCCTGCCCATCTTCCTCAGGACAACTCAGACCCCTTGATCAGTAACAAGGATATAAAATACAATAAAATTATTTCCATTCACAGAAATAAACACAGTGAAATAGTCACAGAGAGCCAGTTTAGTGTAGTGGTTAAGTGCATGGGCTCTAATCTGGTTAAGTGTGCAGACTCTAATCTGGGAGAACTGGGTTTGATTCCCCACTCCTCCACTTGCAGCTGCTGGATGAACTTGGGCGAGCCATAGTTCTGTCAGAGCTGATCTCTCAAGGACAGTTCTGGAAAGAGCTCTCTCAGCCTCACCTACCTCACAGGGTGTCTGTTGTGGGGAGGGGAAAGGAAAAGAGTCTGTAAACTGCTCTGAGACTCTGAGTAAATTGTGGGGGTATAAATTCAATTTCCTCCTCCTCCTCCTCCTCCTCCTCTTCTTCTTCTTCTGATAAAATACACATCTATCAAAAATCACCTTAATCCCTGCTTGCAAGAAATTCACTCTTTGCCCAGACCCACATGGTGTAGACATTACCTGCCAAGGCTGGGGATCACAGAATCCAGTACTTTTGCATTGCAGAACTGATTGGTAATTAGACCAGGATGAATACATGCTGTGCAATGCATGGGCCACAGCATAGACTGCATTGTAGATGCCATAGCTATGGCCACTCATGGACATATCAAAAACAGGCACAGGGAGAGTTTCCAGCCTCTCCTTTCCTGTACATTTATTTATTTCCACTAGTGAACTTGAAAATAAACAGTTAAATGCTTCTTCCCAGAAGGTTTTGACAAATCCATCTCCTAATGTCATGTCACGTTTTACGATGTGAAGAAATTTTTGAAACTCTAGAATCTCCTGTGAGTGAATTGTCAAGGAAATGGTGCCATGGAAAATGGTCGGATCAAATCCCCTCTCCAGTCTCGTTACAGCAAAATCAATCTGGCTTGTTGTAATCCACACCTTTCCAACAGAGGTGAGTCCCTTATGTTCCTCATTTAATGAACATGTTACAGTGATCAGTAATGTCATGGTCTGAGTATCTCCATAGACAACATATACCCTGGCTTTGCTCAATTTGAAAGATACATAAACCTTTGAGAACATGTTATTTATTTCATCCAAGTCATTGAGACGTATTTTTTGTGGCATTTGGTTTATGAAGGCCAGACAGATTCCATGCTTGGAAAACAACGGTTTCATGGTCTTTAAGAAATGTTCTCCATGGTCATCATCTACTGAAAAAAGCCCAACCCACGTCCATCCAAAATGCTGGAGTAACCAGATAATCCCCATGTACTGACGGGTTTCATTAGTGGCCACATGGTAAGAAAAGGATAAATGTACTTCTTCCATGTGATCTGGATCCAATGACCCATAAGGGAACTGAAAGAAAGGTAACAAACGTTTTACCAGTGGAAGACTTTCAACCTCTGTGTTTTGGCTATTTGCCAGTCTCAAATCCAGATTTTAATCTGTAAAACTGGAGAGTCCATTTCAAACATGGAAATACCATGATATTTCTAGAAAATGGTCATGGTGAAATATCTGATCCGGCCTTCCCTTTCATGTTCCCCCTGCCCTTCTGAAGACAATTTGCATTTAATTTTGATTCTATAAATACTGTAGAACACGTCATCATACATCATTTTGCTTCTGAAACAGGAAAGTGGTATTACAAGGTGGTAAAGAAAGAATAATTGATACAGCATGTAAAAAGGCAGCCAGTTATGCATAAATCCTACCTGTGGGATCTTGTAGAGGCTTAAGATGTCTGTGATACAGTTGGAGACATCAGAGCCAAGTCCTCCAATCACAGCTATTAATTTCTTGGGTGAACACTTGTAGTTAGGAACTAATCTGTGAGATTTGAAGAGCAGGTCCATAGTGGTGCGATAGGTCATCTTCTCATAATAGTAGCTGTCATAGATATGGAATCCAAGGGTGACATTAGGCAAAATCTTTGGATTGTCATTAATCTCTTTTATGGCAAACACCATGGCCAGAACATGCTGGTAGAACTTTGTCACCATACTGCAAATAGAATTTCATAGTGTTTCACAAACGTATTTGACATGGCATGAAGTAATCTTATCACAGTTCAGTTCCTGTTAGACCCTCATTATTTCTTTTCCAGTCAAAAAGATTGTCCTTTTTTGTAATTCTGACTCATATTCACAAGCCCTCTGAGGAAAGGCTGAGGGACTTGGGAATGTTCAGTTGGGAGAAGAGGGGGTTGAGGGAGGGACATGATTGCTCTCTGGAAGCATTTGAAGGGATGTCACTCTTCCTGTTGGCAGCAGAGGAGAGGGCTCGCAATCATGCGTTTAAAGTAAGGCCAGAAGGTACTGGCTGGATATGAGGAAAACTTTTGTTTACAGTAAGACTTGTTCAATAGAGGAATCCCTGCTGACGATGGCGAGCTCCCCCTCACTGGCAGTCTTTAAGCGGTGGCTGAACAAACACTTGTCAGAGATACTGTAGGCTGATCCTACTTTGGGCAAGGGGTTAGACTAGATGGCCTTTATGGCCCCTTCCAACTCTGTGATTTTATAATTCTAGGATTCTATGTTTCTGGTGTAATGTAACTCCCCTTTCATTACTGGCAATATTTATAATACACCAATACTTAGATAGGAGATTAAATACACCAATAGATAGGAGATAGGATAGATAGGAGATATAATACACCAATACTTAGATAGAAGATTAAAAAGAAATTTATCTGGAAAGTGATTTCCTTGAAACTCTCTTCTTTTGAGCTCCTTTCATTCCCTCCTCCCAGTTACTCCACTTTGTAACAGAATGACAATAGGGCAGTCTATAGACATGTTGCTAGTTATTTGTCAAGATATCACAGGCACCTCTTGCATGAATCTACCCATCCCAGCGATCATTCCTATTTCCTCTGCTTTATAATCCCAATTTGTGCTTTTTAATCCATTACTGGAAATTAACTGCAGCAGATAGCAGTAGTGAGATAGATGATAGACGGACAGATTGATTCATATGAACATTGATGATCGTATTTGCCATTTTTCTACAAAGATTGACATTTTGAAAAGATTTCTGCTTTCATTAGGCTGAACAGTTGGTAGGTATTTTATCTAACCAATCTTTCTTTGCTCGGGGAGTCACTTTTCTCCAGTGTCTGGCACAAACACTGTGAGCACTTGGATCTGTCCAGAAAACCTTTTCTCAGAGATGGAACAGAATACCAATTACACAATTTAACAATAACAATGATGGTTTACAAGCTATTGTCAGAGCTGTATGAGCTGAAATGCTTTGCACAATCATTTTCCAATGGTTTTGGCATGTGAGTATTCCCAACACATATGGGGGGGGATGGTTTTGTCTTTCCCACAATACCATCAATGCTTCACGGTATTATAAATTTTCGAAAGACACTTCAGTGGCAAATATCATTGGTTTGCTATTTTATAAACTTCTCTCTTAATGAAAAGTTCACTAAGGAAACCCATCCTTTTAAAAACAAATAGTTCCATAAAACCGGATATACTTCTATTTTGAATACTATATGAACTGAAATGCTTTGCACAATCATTTCCCAATGGTTTATGGCATGTTTATGGCATATTGGGGGGGATAATACTGTTTTTTTTCCAAAGTAACATCAATGCTTCATGGTGTTGAAGAAAATTTCACTAAGAGAATTGATCCTTTTAAAAATAAATAGTTTCATAAGACAGGATTTACTTCTCAGACTTGGTCAGTTTGCCACTTCTTTGGATAGATACCCTTTTTCATTCTTCCATATCAGCAAGTAATCTAAGATAGGGGGGGGGAGCCCTCTTTATTGTTTTTCAAGTCTAGTACTTCAAAGGTTGTCGATCCTCATTAGAATTCCAGAATTGTGGCACTATACATACTTTAATCTGCAACGGCTGAACTAGAGAAACATGTCCGGATTCCTTTTTTCAACACTGTCCCAAGACATATTATTTATTATTTCTAATTAGATGTAACTGGCGCATCTAGAATGTTGTCAGTATTTAAGAATATTAGGATTGTAGCCAGGTGCATATGTATAAAGTAGCATCAAAATCATGCCCAATTGGGGTAACCCTAGGAAAGGGGCTTCCAAGCCAAGACATATTATTTATTATTTCTAATTAGATGTAACTGGCGCATCTAGAATGTTGTCAGTATTTAAGAATATTAGGATTGTAGCCAGATGCATATGTATAAAGCAGCATCAAATCATGGCCAATTTATGGTAACCCCAGAAAGGAGCTTTCAAGACAAGTGAGAAGCAGAGGTGCAGAGTCTTCCTTGGAGGTTGCTCATCCAAGTAATACCAAGGGCTGACCCTCCTTTTCTTCTGAGATCTGACTAGGACAGGGTATACAATGCCACCTTCCCTCCTTGTAGACAGGGACACCTTTTTAATTCTAGCATTTTTACACATTGCTAGATATTTATCATGAGATCACAGATTCATCATTCATTATCAGAGCTGTAACGAGGGCGAGGCAAGTGAGGAACCTAACTCACATGCATAAAACTGAAGGATGCAGGGAAAAAATGTATAAAATATACCTCTACTATATCAAGCTGCCATGCCATTAGGAAAGGACACATTTTTATAAATTCAAATTGAACCAACCACGTAGGGACAGCTGATCTATAAGGGGAGGAGGAAGCTCTGCTCCTTCCTCTGCTCCTTGCTTCTTTCTTCTTTTACAATAAAATTAAACTAAACCAAGATGTTTGCTGGACTTATTAGGTGAGCAAACAGAAACATGTTTGCCATAAGGACACCCCCCCCCATTTCTTTCCCCGTTCACCTCTTCCTACTTCCTCCCTCCTGGCCTCACAGCCCACTGGACAGAAAGCTGCAACCCACATCTGAGAATATTTCAGGAGGGGGGAAATTGGCAGGGATGTCTGAGCCATGAGATGTGCAACTCCAATTCTTCACTAATGAGAGGGACTCCCTGAAGGACTGTAAACGTTTTGAATATTTGAAGGCTGAAAGAATCAGAGTGAGGGTTAAGTACGGTGAGCAGCAAACTTCGTCTTCCAGTTCTTGTAAACAGAATGATACCTACACACAAACCCTTGAAGCTGGGGAAGGATTTTATTTCTATTTGCTACTGTAGTGCAGAGAAACTACAGTCCAAGGCAGTGTCCCCTCTAAGCTGAGTCAGTGTAAGCTAGCTCACAGTTTTCTAGCCTCCGGCTCACACATTTTTGTCTTAGCTCAGGAAGGACGGCTCCAGAGCGAACTAATCGATGAGGTAGCCAAATTGCTCGCTCACAACTTTAATGCCAGTAGCTCACAAAGTAGAATTTTTGCTCACAGAACTCCACAGTTTACCGGGAACATTG